AGTGGTTTATAACGTCTAATTTACTGACTGCCAAAGGCCTTTTAAATCGAAAATCATGACTTCCGCTTAGGTTGTCGAAACCTCCGTCAGTGACCGCTATCTCCAGAACTGCTTAAATAAAATACTCCTGCTATCACCAAAAACGGTTTTTCACTGTTATATGCTCCACTCTTATAATCACGTCTAATGTATAATTTTTTTTTCAGCTTCAAGACCTTGCTGTAACTCCTGGTTTGCGAGATCCACGCTTGAATTTTGCAGAATCTGTCATAGAAGGGCACATCCCAGACATAAAGACTACTGATCGTTCTTATTTAAGGGTAGTTTTGTGGTTTTCTTTCCTGTGTCCCATGTTTTTTGGTCCATTTTTATATTTTTGGGTCTTACAATACTTAAAAGATGACACTCAAGGCACATCACTCTCCGCGGGTAACGATGGAAACCGTAGTAGGGTGGATTATATTTGTCGTAGAAACGAAGAACCATTGATATGTTCGGTAACTCTATTTTGTTGTTTCCTGTTGCTGATAGAGGTCATGTTTGTTTTAGCTAGAGTGTGGACATCCAGCGAAATTTCAAAAAGAGGAAATATGTCGCGAGACTTTATTGTACTCCTTGCACATATACCAGAATGGTTAGTGATGTGCTGTTGTAACTGCCTTTGTTGTGAAGATTTGGATATTAGTTCATTTTTCAGCAGATTATTGCTGATTATGTGCACGAGCTTGGTTAGTTACCATTTGAGCTGGGTTGCAGTGGGTATCATGGTTAATCCAGCTTGGGGCGTTTCTATTTTGTTGATACTTTCCTTTTTTGGCAATACCTTATTTTTTGTAATCAATGAAACAACCCACGCAAATGACTTTCGTCTTTCTACCCTTTTCGCATATACACCTGGCTTCCTTGGTCTCTGCTTTGTTGTCGTCCCTCCAGTAGTAGTTGGACAGTCATTTTATTGTCGGGAAACTGCAGATGATATTCTAAAAGCAGCGTTATTGTCTGTTATCGGTGCTGTGTCATGGCTGTACTTCAAATCCCGCAAAGCTTCCTCTGATACTTCACAGTGTGTTGAGGCTGCTAAGCAAGCAGCAGCTGCAGCGAGGGCTCTGACCGAAAAAATAACTGTACCTCAGCGTGATGGGACTGAGGTTCATTCTGCAATTGTGGCAGCAGCTATAGCTACATCCTCTGCAGCTGGTGCAGCTGCGGCCGCGGCTGAAGCTGTGGCTGTTGCTTTGGCTGCAGCCAAGAATGAAAATTCAAAACTTAAAACCGCGCAAGGTGGAAACGAAAATAGCACCCCAAATGGAAATGGATTAAGCGAGGAGACACATCCCCTATACGAAATCCAAAGTGCCTCCGGACGTTAAAACATCGAGTCTCCATCGCTTTGAATCAATGTTGGTCTGCTTCCCCACTTCCCCCTCCTTGCTCTTACCTTTCGTGCAGGCTCTCTAAAAAAAATCAATCCTCGCGTTCTTGCCTTGGTTTTAATGGTGGTGGTCTAACAGTTTATGTAAGAGTACCAAGCGTTCGCTCGTCAAAAATTTCCTATGCTTCATATTAAGGACAGATAATAATATTACGCAAGTTTTAGCTAGAAGTAAAACTCGCTCCTCGGGGCTTATGTGGCCTAGTACATTTTTGACTTCACTTTGCTTGCTCCTAGAGAGCTCTAGCTCTTATTTCTTAGTTTATAACATGATATCGATTTCCTGTGACGTCTTTGGTACACACCCCATTGATTTAGACTTCATAGAAATAAAAGCATGCAAGCAAAGATATTTTATCATCTTGTTCAGTCATATAATCAAACCTCCGCTACTCTCGGCTCTCACTGAATATGACAATCTCATTCATTCCTTTCTGAAATAATTTCTCATCTCCCTTTGACGGCTAGCTGTCCTCAACGTCCCGCATTTTCCTCTGCCCTCAAAGTGGCCGAAGTGGAAAAGTTAGACTGTATTTGCTATCAGTAGCGTTTGAACAGATTAGGAGGAAAACGTTTTGTAACGATAGAACATACAGCATATCAGCTTGATGCATTTTGAATTCATCTCTCAAAGCAATTGTTTAAATAAATATTCTTTTTCCTTCTTTGTAATTAGTGCTATGATTCTCCGAGACTTGGACGTTTGTCATTAAGAAAATCTTACGACAATATTGCAATAGAGTCAGTTTTATTAAGTCACAAACATCAATGTTTTCATAGTATGATGATATTACTATAGTCTAAGTATGAAACTCACTTTCACTCTCATTGATTGTTTATATATTTAAATGTAATTTTATATGTAAATAGCGTTGCAAATCAACTGCTACTGACGGCGGCGATAAGAAACGCAGTTCTTCGAATTCACTATGATTTAGCCTTGTTCTGGTGATTTTTATTTCGGTGCAGGAAAGCCCATCTTATGGAATAATGCAAGCAGGACAAAAGCTAGGGATTGTGTACATTGGCGAGGCTGGTGGCAAGGTCAGTGCGGAAACGTTTTCAGTGACTGGTTTTATTTACTTACTTGTATTTGATCTGATCAAGTACTAATCAAGAGCTTATTTGTAATCTTGCGATTTAAATTGCTGATGTTCTCATGATCAGTTATTTCAGTGGAATCTCTTCAGTTAATCAAAAATAATAATAACGAGAATCACTTCGTGAATTTTACCGGGGCTACTTTTGCCTTGGTAACCCACGTTTAGACTAGCATGCATAAGGGTTGTTTACAT